TATCTCTGCATCCTTAATCGTCAGTACTTGTGGGGAGTCACAGATCATAGGGACCTCTAAGCAGAATAGCAACTAGTTCACATGAAATAGAGAATCGATCAGTCAAACAGCTTCTTTGGAGGGTTTTGTCCTTTTTTAAAAAAATATTTCTTAAACTGATGTAAAAAAAAAAAATAAGATATTAATAAATTCAACCAGCAGTGTCACAGAGATACGGATTTCTTATCCAGGGCTTTTACTCCTCTTGGTGTTTGCTCTAAGCCAAATATCAGTTCCAGCAGGATAATGGGAAGTAAATGATAATTCTGTGTGTGAAGTGGAATAGGGAACAGCCCCATGTTTGCCAGTGGTAGGAGAGAGGAACGAGAAGGATGGGGTGGCTCAGGAGTCGTGATGTGCAGAACCCCCATCTCTTGGCTGTATCTGGAGCCAGCCCAGGCAGGCAGTGACCCAAAATCCTCATCTTTGGACAATTCTTTGATAGCCCGTGTGAAAATAGGCGAGGGTCTCCACCCAGAGCTCGGTGCTGGGTCCTACGTCACGGAAGGTCCCCGTCACGGCAGGCACCGCCTGATGCCCTGGTTGGCCGCGGGCTGAGGAGCCCATAGACTGAGCCGCCCTCTCCCTGGCAGAGCGGGGACTGAGAGGCCTTGGCCGAGCAGCCCGGGAGAACCGCAGATGGCGATTGCATCTCCAGTTCTGTGGGAGCCCTGGGAGAGGGTGCTCAGTCTGTGGGCTCTGCAGCGCTCCCAAAACACAAGATTTGACTCCAGTAAGAAAGCAAATCCAATAGAGACGGTGCATGGTTGTGAAATAGCCTTTTAGCGAACAGAATAATCATCCTTCCCTCTTTCCAAAGATGGATGTGACTCTTTGGTGCCATTACAGGGCAGACACCAAGACCAGAGGTTGCCAGATGAGCCGCAGAGCTCTGGCTCACCGGCAGCACCCTGGGAGGCAGGGCACGCCAGCTGGCCTGCGGCTTTGGATCAGAGGGAGCTAAGAGGGAAGCAATTCTGCAGTAAGGGTGAAGAGATGTCCCCATGCTCATTCCTTGTTTATCTTTAGCTTTTCAAGGCCTATTTTTAAGAAAAAATTGTCTCTTGATGGAGGTAGGGATGAGCAGAGAACATGCAAGGGTGGCAGTAATGTCTGATCTAAACAGGTGACTGTCAAAGCCCATGGATTTCCTCATCTTCTAGTGTCACAGCTTATGGAGGTGACCAAGGTCCAAGCAGCCACCACGCACTGCGAGGGGCTGCCATCCTCCTGCTGAGATCCACAGACCTGCTCACCTTGCCCCAGCTCTGCTTCTGCCTGGAAAAACTAAGAGGAAATGTTGTGTCTGAAGAGCAGGGAATGGCCACCTTCCAGCCAGCGGGGCCTCGTAGGACGCGATGCTGGGGACTCAGCTCTGCAGGAGCACGATCCTGCGGCAAGGTTTTGCAGAGGAGTCAGTGGAAGCTGCTTTCATTTGAGGCAGAAGGTAACAAGAATTCCCCTCTGACCAGTGCTTTAGAGATTACTGGCTTGTTATTTTTTTAACAGAGCGGTGCAGTGTTTCGGGGAGGCGGCAGCAGGGTGGGCAGCGCAGGGTGCTGGATGGTGTTTACACCGGGGCAGCGCTGCCCTCTCAGACCCCAGAATAAACCAAAGGGGCATCCAAGGCACCGGGTCGCTTCATTACCAGTAACTGGTGTCCTCTGCACGCTGTGCCTCCAAAGAGCCATCCTGTGGGTGGGATGAAGGACTCCTGTGGTGGGCTTTGCAGGAGCCTTTGGGAGTAATTTAAGCAAACGAGGGGTGCAGAAGTGTGCGTGGGCAGCCCGGCAGCGGGGCATGGGCACAGCCCAGCCCAGGGCTCCCCAGGGACCGTGCTCTGCCCGGCGGTGCCAGGCAGCAACGAGGGGTCTGCTCGGGGAGTAACGACGCCCTTGCCTTTCCACCCCTCAGAAAAAGAAATCATGGCTGAGTCTTGTCAGAAGCTGAAGTTTTCTGTCTACCCTGTGCTTTAATTAGGTAAAAAATTGATTACGGCCTGGGGTGAGCATCAGGTGGTTGCAGAAACCCCACGGAAAGCCAAAGAGCAGCAGCAGCTGGAGATCAAATCCCGGGGCTCTTTGCTAATCTCCCCAGAAG